GTGTTTTTTATATTGCATAACTGTGAAGGTTATGGGTTATTGAGTTAATAGTGTGTTAAAGGTTTCACGTTGAAAAGTGGAGAGCCATATTTCAGTGAATCCTGTATGTTTTTCATTTACGTTTATAAATTAAAATTTATAAATATTATAATGTCTTAAGGGCTCTGAACGGATTTGCTAATATATCTCTAGATTATGGAATTTGTTATAGTTTATATTATTGTATTGAATATCATATACAATGGACGTCATGGTTCTTACGGATGTCAATGTCTACGCTACTAGATTACCTTAAACATTTAAAAAAACTTATCAAAATATATATTTTACCGGATAACTCAAATTTACACATTGGTAACAAGATATTCGTAACACAACTTGCATTGTAATTTGCCATTACTAGGCCCATCTGTGTTAAACATATCACATTATAATGTAATCAATGTAGGTTAATCACTTTCTTTGAAATTATTGAAAATGTTGGGTGACTAGGTAGAAGAAGAGAAAAATACTCTGAGAATTCTAGATAAAGAATTAGAGATAGGGGAATCATCAACTGAGTTCGGGACAGGGCTACTTTCACAAGTGAATGTACGCAGACAACTCACCGGCTAGCTCGATGTAGCAATAGAATGTATGTGTATAATAGATTGAATAATTGTTGATAACAGTGCTGGATATGTATATACAGTACATAAAAGTAAATATACGGTAACGTATATAATATTTGTATGCAACTATACTTATTTAGTGGTGAAACGAAACTTGTAGCACTTTTCCACACTTTATTTCTTGGGTTCAGTAATCTTCTAGCCAAGGCTCATGACACCCATGCATTTTGTCATCTTATGAGTGTATTTAAAGGAACCATATCTTATAGCTGTATTTTATATTGTTGTGACAATAAAGTTTTATCGTGTCGTATATCATACGATTACTCTGTAGCTTGCTCGAAGAATGCAAATGATAAATGTTAGGAAGCGAAACGTCGCTAAATAAAGTACCAAATAATTAAAATTTTATTATAAATGATCTTACTGCCAAAATAAATGATGATCTGCCTTGAGTTAATAATTGCTTTGTTAAAAAAAATAATCTTCAACATTAAGAAAACTAAATGTAAGGCTACTGACACTACCTTACTTGAAATCTGAGTCAAAAGTTTAAGATGATGGTGTTAGATTATTTAAATATCAACGGTACTCCTCTTAATAGAAATTTACTGTCAAGATATACGGTAGGAGTTATGATCAATGAATATTTACTGTGGAACGAACACTTTAAGCATGTCAAAAATAAAATACTATCAAGGTTATAATATTCGCGTTAGTCAAACTCATGCGTAGTCATACATTATGTCTTATTATTAAAGTATCTGATTACACAACACAAATATTAAAATGGTATTTGGGGGCGCTGTGATACGTCAGACTCGTAGAAATAAACCGGTTATTACAAAACTTAGCGGCATAAATCATGACATGAATAAGGCTTTACGAGTCGATCTCACTTGCTCTTCCACAATTAAACTGAAATCATAACAAGACAATTACAGTGTTACAAAATTATAAATAATCTTGCATCTTTAAATTTAAAACAATCACTTTAGAAAAATGAGATCAAGAAATGCCTTGTGGTTAGATGCTCGTAAAGAGAGAGTATTAAAAAGGAACTTTAGTTATATGCCTAGAAAAGAAACTATGTAGAATTCTTCTGGCATCAAAACTAAAAGTGCAATATTTATAAAGTATTCAACATATTGTTGATCATCCATAACCTTATAGAGCCAATGACTTCTATGTAAGGACGTTTTTCTCTAACTTATTATTTTTAATTATTTTTTTTTTATAATTTGCAATTGTGCTTGACAAATTAATTAATTGTAATTTTAAGGTAATCATTTTATTCCACTCTTTTAGCTATATAAAATTTAAGTAATATAGGCCTACTACCCTATTTTTTTTTATCTCATTATCGTTTTGAAATTTTTTATTTATGCCTTACATTTGACACTAGTTGCTTGTGGACGCCTACCAATTTCGATTTATCCACCCGTGTTTTGATCTACCCTTTTTGTTTCCAATGGCTTAATGCTATTTATTATAACATTTACTGTTGATTGTGCTTATAGCATGTATAAAGATGTTATATATAATAATAATCTTTTGAATATGTATGTTCCTTTAATTCAGATAATTGTATTTTATTGTGTATATATA